ATTAATGTTTCAACTTTCTTTATGTGTTCAACTTCATTAAAATTGAACGATCATACTTTTAAATCCTCCTCCATCAAAAAGTTTTATTTTTAGCAAGACGGACAACAAAAACAAGATGAAAAAAAAAAAGACACAAGCATTACGAATCCACATCTCCCCGATTACGACACGATAGTTTTTTCACAGATTACTCGCCGAGTCCGAATCTTTGCTTGACGCACTTGATACACGCTTGATGAATTACGATGTAAGTATTCCTTGAGTGTATCTCCTTTCCTGTCCTAAAGTTTTTGATTCAGTAGTAAAGGGCCCGGCTCAACTGTTCGCTTCGGAAACTCAGCTGAGGCCCATTCCCCATGATCGCCGCTCGCAAATTATCAGAACAGGCACTAAGATGCCGTCTGTGGTCTTCTGTTTCAGGTCGTTTCGGGGCCGTCAGGCCTAGCGCCGTTTTCAAGAAACCCTTTCCCTGCATGCACTGTGAGCGCAGCTACAAGAATAAGAGCTCGCTGAACCGCCACATACAGTATGAGTGCGGCAAGGAAAAACAATTCACCTGTCCGATCTGCCAAAGAAGACTGATCCAGAAGAGCACCCTGCACAAGCACATGCTTGCTGTACATGGGATTTAATTGAGTTTACTTTTAGAGAAGTGGAGAGAAATAGAGAAAGATATCTAGTTCTTCTTTTTTCTAATGTCCAGCATTGTCGAGCATTGACAGGTCGGGTTCAATCGCGTTTGCTTGATCGATGCAAGCAGGCTAAATAAATAGACTGTATCTTCGTTCAATTTGTCACTTCAATTTGTCGTCCCGCCTTCACGGGCACTCCAAAATTTGTGTATAATATGCATATATATATGTATAGCCTATATCGATATATACTTTTCCTATAAATACGTGTACGCATGTATACGTGTATATAAATATTATATACCGCATTGTACTATATAAACTTTCGAGTGTATATCAAAAGCAACCGTTTCTTTTTTCGACATCTTGGCATCTTTGGTGATTCAACGCGGGATCGTTCTACATTCGTCGCATCTTGTTTGGGTATCTTGTTTGAAGGGTTGGAAACTGGTGTCTTCTTACTTGAGAGGCGGGAAAGCTGGAGCACGGAGGAGGGCCTACGCGTAATAATGAGAAAAAAGAATTCGAACGAAGTTTGTCGCTTGATGAATATCACATATTTCTTCCGTCGTGGATTATTTGTGAATATATCTCCGTGAATAATGAAAAATTTATTGTTCATCTGTATCGAAATATTTTGGGGCCTCCTCTTTATCCATCATTCTCGTCTCACGCAGTTTATCTCACGCCTCTTCACAGACACGTATCCTTGGCGGAATTTGATCTTGGGCGCACTTATCTTCGGGGCTATTGGCTGGATATATTGTGTGTTGGGTTGGTTACGGGTTTAATCTCACTGATCTCTCTGCCAATCGCAAACAAACGCATCTCGTGAAGAAACATCTCTCTGCCCTCTCCTTTTCCTCCTTTATCCAGGCGTTTTTGTCATCGTCGTCGTCGTCGAGTGAAATCATTACGTGAAGTCATTTCTTCGAGTAAGATCATGCCCGACTCGTGGCAAAGTTATTGTACTAATTGTAAGAAAGACATGATTCAAATTTAATAGATAAGATATGCGCCTCTGTATAAATATATATCGAGTCTGTTTATAAAAAAAAAAAAAGGTCTAACGATCTTAAGTAATAAAGTAATGGAATAACTTTGCTACGTCGTCACCAATGTGATCTCGACGAGGCGAAACGACGATAAATAACGACGAGCTCGGCACTAACGCGGAATCGGCGGAAGTTCACGGAAAACGTTTACTCGTCCCTTCATGCGCGCACCGAAGCCACATTTCCCCCGATGCCGCGTGGCCCTGCGAGGTGTCCCGTGTAAAAAACTGTGCGAGAACCAAGTGCGGGCGAGCGCGAGCCAGCAAAAGCTAATCCGTATTTTTCCTAAAGATTTAATCTCCTTACCACCTTCGCGCCTCCGTCGGCGCTGGGTCCCTGTTACAGGCATGGGTGCGCTACTATCCCTGCTTCGTTCCGACGTTAAGCAGCAGCAGCAGCAGCAGCAGCAGCAGCAGCAGCAGCCGACGAAGAAGGGTTACCGTGCGTCCGCACCAACGATGATGACGCGGGCCAACATCGCCATGGCGAACAGACGTGCCAGCAACAGCAACATCGCCGGCGGTGACAACAGCTACGACGACAGCAGCGGCGGCGACAACGGCGGCGGCCGCGCCGCCTCCGCCCGCGAGGTCGTCTTTCCGGATTCGTTCGAGGTGCTGCCGCAGCCGCACGACCTCAGCGTCGTCTTCATGGCGGGTGTGCCGCACGAGCAGCAGCGCAAATTCCGCTGCCGTTTCTGCGGCAAGGGCTACCGCTGGAAGAGCACGATGCGCCGCCACGAGATGGTGGAGTGCGGCGGCAAACCCCCGGCCTTCCAGTGTCCGCAGTGTCCGTACAAGGCGCGGCAGCGCGGAAATCTGACCGTGCACTTTAAGCGCCATCATCAAAAGTTGGGCTACGACGAATCGTCCGCGCCCTAAGAACGCGGGAGACGACTGACATTTCCTAGAGCATTGAACAAATGCGCGAAGTCCAAGTGTTTCTCGAGGGGGATCTTGAGAGCCCCTCGAGTTCGCAGCTTTTGACCCTCTTTGACCCTCTGGAAAAACCGATTTTAATTCTACAATAAATGGTCTCGTGACTTAAGCATTGTGAAATATGCATTCGTATGAAATATTTGATTAATGGTTTTCAGTTGAGACTTAATTTGACAATCCAATTTCTAAATATAAATTTCGAAATTAATTATCCTGAACTTTTTGGCATATAAATAGGATTTTTAAAGAGAATAACATGACATCCGTAAATTTCAAACAATGACAGCTATAAAGTTCGAGAAATGCGATTTAATCGATATCATGCTTTTTTTAGAAAGGAAATAAATTAACTATTCTGCATAATGAAACATGTCACGTTTGACGTATTTTGATACAATCACTTTTTTTTTATGAAATAGTTTGATTAATGGTTTTAAAATAACATATATTTTTCTTTTTATTTTTATTTTAATATTCATTTGAATTTTAATTGCATTTTTATATGTTTATGTTATTAAACATACAGAGGGTTAAAGTTAAAAAGCTGTATGTATTAAATCCGATCCAATGTAAAAATGTTCATTTTTTTCATGGTTATTTTATGATATCTAATAACATACGTTATAAAATCTTGACTCGTATTATACACTTAACTCATGTTATAGATCTGCTAATGTTTAAAGCTATAAAATGAGAGATTTGAGACATATCAATTTTCTAATATTTGCGTGAACGGGAACAAATTAAACGAGCCTTACTCGAAAAGTTTTACAAAACTTAAGTAAATATTACAACAATAATGATTAAATATTTTTTTTAGAAAGGTGCAGTTTTTCTGACCGTAGTTTAAATTCTGATTAATTATTATTTAGCGATTTTTTTTGTTTACATACCTCGCATTTGATTTTTACATGGATTCGAAATTTGCATGATACATTTTTGCAAATATCTGTAATCTCATTCTTACTTAACACCGCAATCAGTACGAAACGTAGTCGTCTAATCTTGAATCTTATATATTTTCTAACTTTTTTTGCAAGATGAGAAGTGAATAACTTCAGAAATGCGTGGCGAGATTACGGGCCAAAGCGTTTCAATCTATTTCTAAGATGTTGGGTTACTTAAGGAATTTAGAAGAACATTATTCGTTTAATCTTACTTGCTGGGGTTGGTAATAAATTATTAGTTATAATAGCTCTCGTAACTCTGCTGCTTTATTTTATAAACTCACGTGATCATATTTTTGTTGCGTAAATAATTTGTCTATGATCTATGATAGAATCTATCGCTATGCTGTATTATTGTCGTAATTGTTTTGCACACGATCTACAGTGCGAGAGAAAAATGATAAAGCTAATATTTCTATCTATTTGCTAAAATCTATGCAATGAACATTCTATGTATTGTACGTTTTCTTAAAAGCAAAAAAACGTTCTTTAAAAAGTACGTTCTTTAAAAGCAAAAATCTCTATGAAATATTTACGTTTATAAAGTATTTCTAAAGTAAATATATCTATATAAAATATAACAGGACAGAAGTATAACACATATCGTGTCTGTATGTATTTTTTATAAATACATTCTATAAAATTACATGTATAATATGTTAAATGTAAATATACTATATATATTTTTTTATAAGTACGTATAATATATCTATAAAAATATATATATAATTTATTTATATTTAATATATAATAATTATATATTAATAATAGATTTTATAAACATATGTATATATTTAACATAAATTAACGACTGCATTTCATAAAGATTCAGAATGTCTACTACTTTAAAATCTGAAAAACCTGAAATTATCAGGAAACTTGTTTATAACTTGAAAAATCAAGGAATTTTATTGATAATTATGAAGTTTTTTTTTAAATTGTTTTTTCTAATATTTTATTTTTATTTTATAATCAAAATTTTTTCAACTGAATTGTTAACAATAACAATGAACCCGCCCATTCTAAACATCAAAGCATATTGATTTTACGACTAATTCAATGTTCAGTCATTAACGACAACGATTTCGTATTATTATTATTTATTAATACTTTTATAAAAGTTAAATTTTATTGGTTACACGTTATATAATTTTTTGCTTGTATATAATCTTTTGCTTTTGAAAATCAAATTTGAAGCTTTTACACGATATAAAATATTTATTTTTTAGTTCTTTTTTATAGTTTTTTAATGTTTCAAATTACTGAAATTTATATAATTCTTAATTTTATTTTATGATTTATGTATTTTTATGAATGAAAAACATAATTGCCTAATGAATATATATTTATTATTAATAAGATATATTTACAAATACTTTTATTTGGAGTGCATTTTTTAACAAAATGCCTTGAAATCAGGGAATTTTTTTTCTTGAGTTTAAGTAGATACTCGGAAATTTCATTCAATGCACTTACTATTAAGAAAAAGTACGGTACATAGGCCATTATTAATTTTAAAAGACAAATAAACTCAGATTTTCATCGTCATTTTATTTCGCACTATATATGAATACGCCACCAAAGAAATCACACGATTAAAGCATCCGAGATCTGTTTCTCAAAGATCGCGAGTACATTCCAACAATCGCGTAATAAATCGTGTAGCTCGAATTATGCATAGCGCGAATATTTCAGAAAATCTCGTTTTTTTTTCTTTTTTTTCATACGCAGGGAGATATGACGTATGTTTGTACAAGGGAGTGATTTTTTTTCAATAAATTTTGACAATCTTTTGCATTATAATCTAACTATTTGACATATTCCACGCGATGTATGTGGATAATGTGATTTGAAAAAAATACAATAATGACGAAAAATTCACATAATATTAATGTACATGTAACTAGAAACGTTCCGATAATATTATCGATGAAACTTAGATTTTTAAGACTATCGATCAAATATAACGCCTTGTTAGTATTTTCATGTGTACCATAAGACATATAAAATATTTGATAATTCACCATTTAATAGACAATTTTGATTAAAGCTTCATTTTAATAGTCTTTTTTTGTTTCAAATGAAGAAAAAAGTTCAAGATTTAAGTTATTTTTTTATTAAGCATAATGTTAATATAATTAATAAACATGAATTAGAGGAAACGTCTTTGTACTTTACGCATGTAAAATGAAAAACATGTTTTGATAAAAAATTTCAGTTTATTTAAAGCAAATAATTATAATTTAAATTCAGTTTCAGCGCTTTATTAAACAAATAATAATACATTTGACGCAGTTATTTTTCAATTATATTATCAAGTGCTTCTATCATAGTTTCTGGCTTGTTTTAAAATCTTAACATATGGCATGCATTATATTCTGATGTTTGTAATGTCTCGAATTTGTTGTATAGCAACTTCAAATTGCTTCTAATAATTAAAGTCATTGATCCTTGACAATATAATTATATCTGAAGATTAAAAATTTAATAATCGTGAATACACTTTAAAATGTACGCATTTCATCATAAGGTATAGTGCGTACCATGTGCCAAGATTTTAAAGAAGCCTTCGTATATTAGAACATATTTATTATCCTTGTATCTTTATAATTATTATATGACGATATTATTATATGAAATGGATATAACATGGTTGTATTATGATCGTTATCCATAATTTGATAAATGACGTGTCTTATATTCGACAAAGATAAATAGAGGATTTCTCCGAAGTGCCTTCGACGAAATCGATAAAACGAATGAAATGCGAATCAGATTCGCGCATTTGTTACTGGTGGTGTTTGCGAAACAATCTTTAAAAGATCGGTTACCTGAAAGCATTTAGGCGCTTATGATAGACAATAATTATCTAGAATTACTCCAGATAATAGATCGCGACCGCGAACGCGGGAATTAATTTTTCGCACGTATCTTACATAGCAGAAAGACTACCGTTGATTCGTTGATCATTGTTAACATTTATCATAGGATGGCATGTTGGCGATAGATTTAGACAGAAAGAGAGAGAGAGATTCGATTTTACCAAAATACATCTCTATATAATATATCTGTGTAATATATAGGAAGATTCACAAACGCGAGAGAAAAATTTACGTTACGTATCCGACAAAGTACAAAGATCCGTATTTCCCAATCACTTAACGCATTGTCTAAAGTCGGATTCGGGCGAACGAGCGCGAACGAACACGAATTTACAACTTGTTTTAATGAATGTATATGAAATACTCAATATTCGATTATTAAAACGATTTGCTCATTCGCGTTCGTACGCGTTCCGTCTGACCTGGTTGCAGATAGCGTGAGAAAGATCAGTAACAGCGATGCAATCAATTTTAAGATCGGAAAATATGATCAACACATTGTAAAGGGATCACTTGCACATAAACGCGAATTTACAAGCACTCCACGATGAGCTCGAACGCGTGAACGGATTGATCTTACGATCCTACGGATTGTTGTATCTATGCCTCTTATTTAATATATAGTCTATGTAATGATTTATGGTATTTACACATTCCACTTTCATTCCTTCCGTATTTTTTTCTATATAAGTAGTATTTAATTTACACAACTTTCCAGGATCGATACGGGATCAAGCTGACTATCGCGCGAGACTATACTCATAGAATTATATAAATGTCTCTTCCATTTTTTTATACACACATATATATATATACAC